ATAGGAAGAAAATCAATTCATTTGAGATAATGTGGTGCTGGAGAAGAAAGCTGAGAATCCCATGGACAGCCAAAAGGACAAACAAATGGGTTTTAGAGCAGATCAAACCGGAAACCCCCTTGGAAGCCAAGATGACCAAACTGAGACTGTGATACTTCAGACACATCATGAGAAGAGAGGACTCTTTGGAAAAAACAATAATGCTGGGGAAGGTGGAGGGAATTAGGAAGAGAGGAAGGCTACATGCTAGATGGATGGACTCTGTTAAGAAGGTCACAAGGTCACAATTATAAAGGGGTTGCAGGATTTAAGCAAAGAAGTGCAGGACAGGGGGCCTTGGAGATGTCTTATCTATAGGGTCGCCATGAATTGAGATCAACTTGAGGGCAGCTAACAACAACAAATCTATTAACAGAGGAAGATAAAGAAAATGGCTTCATGGCACACTACATCTATTAATACGTGTCCTCCCTACAGTAATAAAAGGAATCTTCTCAGAGAATGTTTTGAACCTAAGAAAACTGACTTTTGGTAAGTAGAATAATTACTTTCACACATCAACACTATGTGACCACTGTAAAGATCTGAAAGACCTGTTATCACCTTATGCAACTCTTTGAAAAATTAAGGCAAGGGTCATGATTTGCTTCCTTCTGGATCCATTTAATTCTATTCTGTTCCTACAACTGTGTAAATATGGTTTATACCTGAGCATTTATTATCATTCTTTACTGTATCCAAAGAAATGGATTTATATCCATGAAAGCTCATGAGTAAATAAAAACCAGTTAGTCTTAAACATGTTGCTACATTCTTTCTCGCCCCCCCCTTTTTTTTCAAAAAAGCAGAAATAGATTTTCCCTCCCTCTTTCCCATCCTATGCCTACCTGCCATGAAGAGAAGAAAGAAGCTGGGCTCAGTAAGTTTGGGTTGCTGGGATGTCTGCCACCCATAAACTCATCTGTACAGATGTCGCATTGCTGGGCATCTCGCCAGTCCCAGTAGGGGATGGTGAAGTTCTCATTCCCTGTCAACTTCTGGATCTCATGTTCCCACATGAGCAGAAAAAGTCGGTGCCAAGGAAGGAAACCTGGAGCTTCATGGGCAAAATCAATATCTCGCCACACACTGGTACCTCCAAGAAGCGTATCCCGGGACACATAATAATGCATCCAGACAAAGAGGTCGTAGACATTGATGTTTTGGAACATGGGGGCTGAGCCATTATTCATCTGGGCATACGTTCCAGTGGCAATAACAAAATCCCGGCTGGTTGTGTGCTTGGCCAAGTTGAGGTAGGCGAGAAACTGGTACTTTTCCCTGGCACTGATCCGAAAGATGTCTCTCCTCACCCGTGTCTTTCTTTCAGTGCAATTGGAACCTGCAAAATTGAACTTGCAATCACCGCAGTTGAAGCCCATGAAGTTGCCCATGCATTGGCAGGTCCTGTTAAAAAAGACAGCAGGCCAGTCTTCCCTGTCATCTACTCCAGAGAAGGGGAATTGAGGTCCAGCTGGGGCATCTGAAAGAAGGATATCTCTGCAAGATCCCCGTCCTGAAAGCTGTCCACAAGGGGACCCGTCCCCCGGCCACGAGGGGCAGCATTCCTTTTTCAACAGACTGTCTGAGTTGGCACATGCCCGTGGGAACTGGCTAGATCCTAAGGGGAGAAGAGCCAAGAAGATGCCGATGGAGAAAAGACACATCCTCTTTGCAGCAGAAGAAGACTCACAAATCACTTGTCAGGTGAATAGGCAAAGAGTGAGTTATTATCCCTACCTCAGCCCAGAAAAGTTTTCCCTATGTATTTCTTTTCTGTATATCATTCATGATCCCTTCTCATCCTTGCCTCAGACACACATACGCACATACACACACTTTTCTGTAATCTGATTATCACATGTTTTGGGCTCCATCCAAGTAACTTTTGCTCCCCCTCCCCCTCCGGCTTCAGTTGTACAGAGTCTTACTTTAAAACCCTCATCTTCTGCCTAGCACATGATCACTTTTGATGTGCCTGATCACAGAGGGTGCAATTCTTGGTCACACACAGGAACTTGGACAGTTGAGTTAATGCTTTCTTGGGTTGCAGGGTGGAAGAATGAGGCTGGGGTTGAGCGAGGGAGGAGGGAGGACATTCCACAACCCAAGCCAAGTCTGTTGAGTGGCATGAGTGCAGAAAATCTGCAAATCTGGAAAAGTACATGGATTTAAGGTCCTCCAGTCTTTTCCTTTAGAACAGGGGTGGTGTAGTCTAGCTACAACTCCAGATGTCATTGGACTATGACTGCCTGCACTCCTCCTCACTATGAAGTAAATTTGATGGGAAACACACTCCAGCATCAAATGGAGGGCTACACTTTGCCATCATCTACTTTAGAAAAAAGGTTTTCTGATACATGTTTCCAGACAGAAAAACATAGATAATAAAAACCATCCTGCTGAAAAAAAAATGCAGAGATTTTAAACAATAAGTAAAGATATCTAGGCTCTCTGGGGTTTCTTCTCAGAGAGTGACTTTCCAGCTGCAGGGATTCCTTGATGAGATGGATTAGTGAGACCTATTTCACTCTCGTTTCAGGCCTGGTTATGGGATGGAGATAACTTTGGACACCTGGATGGACAACTTACACCAGGCACTGGACAGGGGGAAGGTGTTGCTGTTGGTTTGACAGGACCTCTCTGAGGAATTTGACCCCATTGACCATGCTATCCTTCTGGGTCACCTTCCTGGGATAGAACTTAAAGGCTCTATTCTACAGTGACTCCAATCTTTCCTAGAGGGGAACCTTCAGAGGGTGGTGCTGGGGAATTCCTGCTTGACCCTTTGGCCATTGGCCCATGGAGTCCCTCAGGGTTCAGTCTTGTCCCCTATGCTATTTAACATATACATGAAAGCATTGGAACAGGTTGTCCAGAGTCTGGGGGCTAGGGGTCATCAACATGTTGAAGATACCCAATTTTGTTACTTTTTTCTACCCAATTCCAAGGAAACTGCTCCTGTGCTAAATCAGTGCCCAATAGCTGTAATAGACTGGATGAGGGCAAACAAATTGAAGCTTAATCCAGATAAGACAGAGGTGCTTCTGGTCAGTTGAAATACAAATGTGAGATTGAGGATTCATCCTGTATTAGATGCAGCAACACTCCCTTGGAAAACTCAGGTTCACAGTTTGGGGGGACTCCTGGATTCAGCTCTGAGCCTGGAGGCCAAGGTTTCAGCAGTAGTCAGTAGTATTGTGAGATGTACTGTATTTCTATTCAGTGGTAAAAAGCTATCCATTTAAGTTAGTAGTGTTACTTATGTGATGCATCTGTGAAGGAAAGTCTTCATGGAACTATTAAAACTCTTTATTTTTTGATTTTTAATATGAAATGCCAGGAGCATCTCTTGTTTTGTTAAACAATAGTTATGTTATGTCACTATGTTATACAGTTAATAACGGCATAATTTTTTAAAAAATGCCTGTGCGTACATATCCATACACACACATATATGCATTTTAAAAAATTTGGTTGACATTCTGTATGGGACTTACCTCTTCGTAAATGATGTTACATGTGCAAAAAAGAAATTTCACAATCCCTGTATTCACCTACAACTTGTGGTGACCTTATAGGGTATGGGCATCTGGCGCACAATGGTAAACAGCCAGCGGAGTGACTGAAGCTCAATGGTCCAATGCACAGTGGACACTGATGTAGATTGGGGTGCAATGGAGTGCATTTGTTGATGCCCACATTCTGGTTTCACATCTTTACATCTTCTGGTTTTTGTTTTCAAATATGTTTTTGTTGCATTTCTACAGCATATCCCTGTGTGTCTCTCTGTGTGTGCGCCTTCAAGTCATTTCCAGCTTATGACAACCCTAAGGCTAACCTGTCATGGGGTTTTCTTGTAGAGATTTGTTCAGAGGAGATTTGCCATTGCCTTCCCTGAGGCTGAGAGCATGTGACTTCCCCAAGGTCACCGGTGGGTTTAATGATCAAGCAGGAACTGAACCTTGGTCTCCAGAGTCATAGTCCAGTGCTCAAACCACTAAGCCATGCAATTCATGAATTCATAAAGCTACAAAATGTAAACTGCAATGTGGCACCTCAGCCTTTATTTATTTATTTTGCAAATCTCTTCTTTTTTAATTAAAAATGTTTTGAATTATTAACAAAATAACATAATCCAATGACATAATAATTAAAACAACAATAACAAAATGAATGAGAAACATATTAGGCTTTGCATATTATTTCTCTTAAAAATTAAGATGTTCATTTTCATTCTCTTTTTAATGGGAGGCAGAAATTCTTCCCAAATGGTTCTGCAGCTTCAATCAGATTGGAAAGCCAAGGGCTACTGCATCGTCTAGGTAGTGAATGCTTCACTGGGAAAATATTGCCTTTTTGTAGCAATCAGAGGGCCATCATATGATCCTGCTGAGGAACACGTGGAGCCTTAATCCTTTTGGCTTCAGGAAACACAGACAGATTATCACAGGGTCTGTGTGCCTGCTTAGGGCTCCCTAAGCTATTTTGCTTTAGCTTCTCACCGCCTCCTCTCTCACTTCTTTACCCTTTTAAAAATTGGCACAAAATTCACTCATGTTTCCGCCATCACTCCACCAGTTTGCATATTCTAGGGTGAGCCAGGACAGCAAGGGCAGGTTACTTGTAATAGTTTGCATGTCATTGGATTGCCACTCCTGTCATCCCTTTCCATTGACTGTGCTGGCTGGGGCTGATGGGAGTTGTAGTCCAACAGCATCAGACGTTGCTTACCCTCAAAACAGAGGATTCAAAAATACTTTTGCTTTCAGATAAATTCCCAACCCAAATTGATGAGGAATCAGGGAAGTGGAAGAAGGATATGAGTTCCCCACTATTCTGCGGAAAAAAATGTAATGAGCATCATTAAGGGTGAGTCTAGTGTAGTGGTTTGAACGTTGGACTAGTACTCCAGGAGAACAGTGTCTGAACATTGCTTGGCCATAGAAACTCACTGGCTAACTTTTTACATGTCAAGCAAGTGGCATCACTAGGGTTGGCATCACCCAGTGCAGAAACTCATGGTGTCACCCCCCCCCCCAACATTGACCTCCTCTCACACCACACCATATAGAATCCTTAGTAATGCTTTTTGAACTGTTACTTGTAAATTGTAATACCTGTATATCACTGAATATAATGGCAATAGTTCATAGAAATCATAGAAGCCATGGAGCCTGATCCTATCTGCCTGACCTCCCTTTATGTATTTCTATACCCCAACCTTGTTTCCATGGCTTGGGATATATTTGTACTACAGAGTTACACCTGTTTCAGAACATAGAATCATAGAATTCAAAGAGACCTCAAGGGCCACCCTCCTGCCATGCAGGAACTCACAATCAAAGCACCCCCGACAGATGTTTAAAAACTACCAAAGAAGGAGACTCCACCACCAGGGGTAGGCAACCTTTCCCCTTTAAGAGCCGAGGGACTTCAGC